CTTATGGTTAAACAGTTGCCTGTTTACACATCAAGGGAGGTTTGAGGATTAATTCAATGTCAAACAAGGGAGCGGCTGATGCAGCTCAGATGCTGTTTTGGCTCCCAGTGAGGGAGTGGCTGCCCCTAGCGGGTTTAATCCAGACGAGAGAAACTTCTTTATGCTACTTTGACCTAATCCGTCCTTGCTGCCTCCCTGCCTAGACTACTTACGTTTACAAGAACAGTTGTTTCTCACAGGTGCACAAGCTGTTTATTGATGTGTTAATAATCATTTGTATATCATCATCAAGATCCTTCTTTTTCCACCAACATCCTCATCACAGTCACCACCATCATCACCATCACTTTCAACCGCATATGCACAATGAGATACTCTGAGGGCTGGTCCCTATGTTGCTTTTATTATCACTACTTCCATTTCACAGGTGATGAAATTGCTTCATAGACAACTGATACCTTATGCCCAAGGTCACACACCCAGCGGGTTCTCAGAAGGAGGTGCGATCCTGACACTGTAGCCCCATGGCCTGAGTTCAAATGTGCTCTGCTAGGTGCTCAATGCAGCATCCATAGCAGAGTCCCTCTTAGATATTTCCTGATGCCAATTTTAAATAACTTTGATTTCTTCAGCTTAGTCTTACTGTATGTATGTTATCCATAAACTCACGAGCTTCAGGGGGTAATTTCTAGACACTTTTATTGACACATGGAAGATCACTGCCTAAGGTTCACTGAACGCCCATTTACCAATGGACCAGAAAGAGCATCCCATGTTGCTGGTGGCTCATGGACACACTTTTGGGAATTCCAATTCCAGGAGTCAGGGGAACGACCTATTCTAACAGCTGAGAGAAAAATTGATTATTTGAAGGCACCAGACACTTGTTCTTTGATCAGTGTAATTCTCTCAAGTGCTGTCACTAACCACAAGGTGACAGAAGAGCATGAGCCTTAAACTCAAACCAAGCCATGGTCCAGTTCCAGCTCTACTGTCCCACACATCCCTGAACAAGTAAAAGCAACTCCCCAACTCTTGGTCATATTCATCTCTAAAGTGGGAACACACCTGTCAAATGCAGTTGAACTTGAATGCTATGGATGCTCAGGACAGTGCCTTCTCATGGCCAATGAGGATAAGCAATCTCCTTCACCCCAAACTCCGATCTGTCACTACCTAGTCAGTGTAAATGGGGAAACTGAGACATGACCAGTTGAAGCCATCTGTTGCAGCTCCCTCACTGTAGCATGGCTGAGCTGACACCTGACACAGGTGGCTGGACTCTAGCATCTATGCTCTCAGGACACACCCTTTCCAAGGCTGACCCCTGAGGGTCTTGCTTAACCCTGAAAAAAAATAATAACTGAAGCAGGACAGGAAATGTCCCAATAGAAATCCGATTTTGGCAGAGGAAATGGCTGTTCCTTCACGCCGAGACTTGAGGAGGCTGCAGAGATTTGAAAAACTTCTTTGACACTCCATGAGTGGAGACCAGGAGCTCCAGGGGCTATTTCCAAAGATCCAATTATTCAAGGTTGGGACTAGGCTGCAGGGCAACTGTTTCTGCTAGCCTTGCTTCTGTTCTCTGCTTGTGCTGCTATGTCTTTTAATATAGTTGGGTGACTTAATTTTTTGGAGGAAAGCAAGGAGAAACGGTGAACGCAACACTCTCCCTTATTTAATTACAGGAACAGTGAGGACCAATTTGGCAGTGATTAAAATCCTAGTTTGCCTTTATGCTATCTTTTCACAGCGGGAGCTGGAAGTCCAAATTGGCTGTGGATGAGGACAGAAGGTCAACATTTCCATTAGGAATCACGTGGAATTAAAATCCCAGGCACCCTGTGGTCTATTTTGTATCTCTCTACTTACGTACTTCCCTCCCCGGTCCCTGCCTTTCAAGCTCTCTCTGCTTTTGACACCTTCCCTTTTGTCAGGGCCGCATCTACTCTTGACTCATGAAACATCAGAGAGAGAGACGTTTTGGAGATCATCTCGTTTAACCTTCTTGTTGAGAAAATGAAGTTATGAGAAGCCACAGAAATAGCCAGTGTTTTAGGAGAGAGCAAACCTGGAGCACAAAGAGGCTTTGTCATACAGGAACCGAGCTCGGGTTCTGGACTCACTCACATGGGGTCCAGCCCTGCCCCAGTTGTGCTAGCTCAAGCAGGTTACCTCACCTCTTTGATGCTCCATCCCTTTATAGGTGAAATGAGGCTGATAATGTGCCAAAGTCAGTACCTGGCTCAGAAGACTAAGTCAACGCTTAGGATTGGAGATCTCAAGGAACCTGGGCTTGATGTTGACCTGTGAGTTGATTGATTCAACCAGACCTGAAGGTCAGTTCCAATAACTCATCATTAAGCCAGTTTGAATCGGCTTTCTGTCATTTTCCATCAAAGTAAGGGAATCAGAAGAAGCCAGGCTGAGCTGTGTGTGCTTGAGACAGATAGGTAGCGGGTGAGGTAGCAAAGAGTGCATCGCAGATGATGGTAGATTTGGCTCATTTTGCTATTAAATTAATGCTAAATGAATTGCCTTTAATTCATATAAATGAGAGAATCCCAGCTGGGGACTCATACACAAGTGTTGGAAGTTGTGAGCTCTTCGGTGCAGAGAGCTCTAGGTTTCGAGGTTGTGGAAGGAGGTACAAGCAGCATCTTTTTGACCTGAGCCTTTTCCCAGTGCACCTGCTGATTACTGATGCCCACGGATGACACGGGATGGACTCCCATGCCAAGAGACACACTCAGCCCGACCCACCATTGACAAGGGGAGTTCAAAACATCCGTGGAAAATAGAATTGAAGGGTACGTTTATTTGGGAGCAAAACATTTTGAGATCCATGCATGTGAGGGACCTTCCAAGAATTCATGCAAAACTGTTCTGCATCACAATAAACATACTTTTGCCTCTGCTCTTCCATGAACGTTCGACAGTGCCCTTAGATTCCTTCCTCCCTCTAGCAGCATTCCAGTCCTTCACATAGCACGGCAATGACACTGGCATCCTCGTCACCCTCACAGGCACTTACCGTGCCACATGACCGCCTCCCTCATGGTACTACTTTGTTTTCACAAATCACGTCCTGGGAGGGCTATCTGGAGGGAAACATGGGTTTTTATTCTCTCCCTGTGGGGCAGAGAATGCCAATACTACACAACATATCACCCCCATGGGATCATGTCCTGTCCCACCTCATTCCGATGGCTTTAGGACCAGGAAGACTTGAGTTCAGATGCTGTTAAACAGCTGTGTGACCTTGGAAAAATCATTTGGTTCCTGGAAGCCTCCCTTTGATTTCCAAACAAATTAAGGATAATATCCCTCCTGTTGAATTCAGTGGCTGTGGCAATGGCACTGACACCTGTAGAGGAATGTTGGATATTCCACACTCAGGGCTCTGCCTGCGTGCCAGGCCACTCTGGTCTGTTACTCTGATTTATACAACATCTTCAAGTCTGGGTGTCTCCTTTTAAAAAAAGGGAGGCTGGCCGTGAGAGGGACAGTGAGCAGCTACACAGTCAGCCGGATGAAATCAAAACGAACATCCAGGAAAAACGATACAACCTGAGGGTTCTGGGCGACTTCTTGAACATGTAGTTTATGGTCAGCTTTTGTCCCCATCCCCTGCTGTGAGCGACGGGGGGGGGGGGGTAAAGTGAGTCACAGGAGCAGAAACAATGACACCTGTGCCAACAGCAGCAGGAAAGACCTCAGGCAAAGAGTTCCAACTGAAGTGCCACTGAGAGGGTGGTCGGGAGGGGAACGGGTGAGAATCATGGCAATTATCATGACATTCACAGACTTTACAATTCTTCAAGACTAGATGGCAAGGTTTTCACGGGAAACACTGCTGTTATTTTAAATGGGGCTATCAATGTTCAAACAAATCACGTGAATTAACACAAAACCAAATCATCCTATGAGGCTGGAACTCAGATCCCACCTACAGGGGGCACTCAAGACTATATTGCTTGGATAATTAGGCTCATTTAGTAGCATATTCTTTAACTCCATGGTATTGTAAATTTTTAAAATTTTACTTCTGTTGTTGATTTGGTTTTACGGCTTCTCATTTAAGGGAATGTATAGTTACTATGTAAGAGACTATCATATCCAGATGTGAAGATACAATTCAGTATGCATTTCTATTTCCAAATTAAAGATGGACTCCCAATGAAACTGTTAAATATATCTTGACAATAGGAGGCTGGTCTATCCGCCATTGTCTGTACCCGCAATGTCAAGATACACTTAAATAGCACAATGATGGATTTATGACTGCTTATGAACGACAATACTATTGTAATAATACAAAGGAAATTGGGGTGGTAGGCAGGGAGTTTGGGGAGGAGGTAAGAGAAATCCCAGAGCCTATGGAACTGTATCATAAAATTAAAAAGAAGCTATATCTTAGTGGTGTTTTTGTTTGCTGCTGTCTTTTGCATGTTTCTCTGCCCATGTGTTCTTGAGCAGGAAGTGGGGCAGGGGTTGGGGGGGAGGGACACAGCACTGGGCATCTGACTCCTGGGTTTGAATTCAGGCTGGCGCGAGGACCATATACTGCCCACACCAGGATGTGGTTTTGTTTGCACCAGAACAGTGCCTGGTACCCAGTAAACACTTGCTAAGGAGCTGGCTCACGGAGTGAATGACCTAGGGTTGTCCACTGCACTGTAAGCCTCAGACTTCTCACCAATTAAGTGGGAATAGGCAGCTATACTCCTCAAAGGGTTAGAGAAGAGACTAATTAAAGTGCCCGGGGATGAAAGTTGCAGGCGCTTGTGATATGAGAAACATCCACTGGTCCACAGCAGACAAAGGGGACCACTTGGACCACCTTCCCACATGGATATGGTCAAATGCCACCCTCTCCTCCCACCCTCTACCTTCCTCTAATGGCATCAAGCCTGTTAAGAAGGAGCCTTCCCTCCCTCCCGGAACGATCATGCACATTTTCCATGTTTGCACAGAGCTAGGGGGTGACATGGTGCTACCTTGCATTGTCCCGGCCGTGTGACTTCAAGAAATTCATATCTCGGTAGCGGGAGAGAAACGCCACCAGCTGGTCATTGGTCCTGTGGAAACAAACCAAGAAGAAAGTCAGGGTGTCTAGAGACCACACAGATGTTGAGTCCTTGCTCCCTTCTTAGTCATGGGAGCCAGGTTGTGCCCTTGGTGTCTTTCTGCTTGAATCGCCTTTCCTGATCGCCATACACAGGCTGCAATGGCCTCTCTTTTTTCTGTGTTGCAATTGCTGGCCACATTCAAAGGGGCTGCTTGCAGATTCTTTTCTCACACGCACTCCTCGACAAGGGCCAGTCCTGGGAGCAAGTGAGGCATCTTGCATGTGTTGGAGTCTCCAGTGGCCCGCCATGAGCTTGGCAAACAGGAGCAACCCCAGGTCTTTGCACGTGCTGTTCCCGGGGGAAAATTTTGCCCCTATTTTCCTATCCTTGGCTTGTTCTTGTCACCCACATCTCTTTTCAGAAGTCACCTTATCAGAGAGGCTTTTTCTGGTCACTAAAATTAAACTAGCACTTGCCTCTCCCTTGCCCCATCATCCCTAACAGCAGACTGCGTCCTGATTTTCTCTTAGCATCTAAAAGCACTGAACATACTTCTGCTAACATGCAAAGTTCTTCGACAGAAGCTAGCCAGATGGGTTCATGACTGCCACGCAGTAGGAGCTGCATTCGTGTTTGTTATGTTTGAAGGAAAGACAGTGAAGTCTGAACTGACTCCTTCAAATATACTCTGAGCAGTGAATTCATCAGCGAGGGCCTGAACCGAGGCCTCAGTAACCACGGGCCACGATGGAGAGAGTGTTAAAAATATATGAAGTGCAATACAAGCGGATGACATCGTTCCCTGTGTTGTTAGCCCAAATTTATCGCCATCAATCTCGGCGCTAGCCATGTAGTCACAGTTAATCAGCTTGTGCACACAGCTGTGACAGTATTTTAAAAGGCACGCACACGGGTCTCCATCTGCCAGAAACACAATCGCCTCTTCTGCTGAATAAACCCAAACAGGTAAACTGCACCTAAAGGAGCAGCCCCTCTGTCACCAGGCTTCCTGGCTCAGGGACTTTCATTTCAGGAGGAAAGGGTTAACCGCTGCCTCCAATGGGAAGAATCTGTGCCAGAGTCTTGAGAAAAAAGACTACACCTGGGATCTGGAAGCCACAAGTTCTGAGGCCAGACTTCAGCCCCACTGCTAAGGGTGAGTCATCTAGCCACCAAGAACGGTGGTCTGGCTACTGAGAATTAAACACAGAGCACACAGTAGGCGCACTGGGTCTCTCTCTAGAATGGATAGCTGGATGGATTGAAAAGGCACACACTGGGTACACACACACACACACACACACACACACACACACACACACACACACTGCCGGCTTCTTTCTCTTTCCCAGTCCTCTTTCCTTTCTTTGCTGGCTGCGATTCTGCAGTCTCGCCACCCGGGGTCCCTGAGCCCTCATTGGATGACTCATGTTGACCAACGGGCCGCAGAGCCATGGGGGGATGCTGTCGTGGAAAGCTGTGCGGCCAAAGCTCTATCCTGTTCTGGAAATAAACACTGGCAGTGGGCGATGCCAGAAAAATCCCCGGCTGTCTGCAGGGAGGTAAGTCTGGGTGCCCGCACAGAGCCGGGTCTTGCTGACATGCACAGAGCTGATGCCACATGTCCACAAGGTGTGGTGCGTACCCGGGGCCACACAGCCAGGTACCTAGAGCTCCTGGGGCCCCGGTTTACTGGAGCCACAGGTAAACTCCATCAACATGCCCAGAAAGTCCCAGCTCCTTCCAAGTCACAAAGGGGTCCAGTGCACCCCATGCCGAATGCTGTAGCGGCTCCTAGCAGCCCCCTCCGCACTCTGCCGACAGTTCATTATCTTCATGCTGATGAATACGGGACAAGTTAACTACTGAATGGGTCCCGGGTAGTAGGAATAATGAAGAGGGTCCTCAGTGGGAGGATTGAAGGGGTCAGGGCCGGGGCTTTGGGCCCCCCCTCTCAGGCCTCCCAGGCTCAGGCGCTGCTGCTCCATTTGGCAACCCCAGAAAGCGCTTTTCAGCCCCGTGAGCTGGGGCCATTTTCACATTTATCGCTTCACCGAGTCCCCATCTGACGGCGATGAATAGGCATTTAGCGAATTTACTTAGCGATGCTTCCACATGAAATCGTCTCAAAAGATGACATTTTGGGGGAGGGAGGGAAGAAGGGGAGGGCAGATGCTGTTTCCAGGCTGGGAGCTCGTGGGTGAGGACACTTCGCAAAGCCAAGTGCTGTGTACACGCACGGCCCAGGACTCCGCTGGAACTCTGGGGCCAGGGACCTTGCGCACCCCTTCGCCCGGGAGGCCCGAGGCCCCTCTGGCTCACTCTTCACAAAGCACCAGCTCTGAATGCTAAGGCCTGTCTCCCCAGCTCTGCTCCAGGCGGAGAGGGAATTCGCCTGGGGACCAAGTTTTCCCATGGTTGCTTTCAGACGCCTGTCGATAATTGCCTACATAATATTTAGTTCTCTCCAGATAATTAACAGCTTGCAGATCTGTTGACATTTTACCCGGTTCCAGTCTCTCCCGCTCTCTTCCCCTCACACGTGTCTCTCACTCTTTCAGGCAGGAGGTGTTTGCCTAGAGGCTCCCAGAGTTCATCCCTGGTGGCTGTCTCTGCATCGGTTTCCTTCTAGCTGCTTCTATGATGAGAAGTCATGTCTCCCAGTCTAGCTCTGGGTAGCAACTGGGGCTTCATTGCCTCAGCCATTAAAAAAATCCATGCAGAAATTAGTCACACTTAAATGAAGGAGACAATAAACTTAGTAGGAGCCATATGGGAATCTTGGTTGAACACATAAATAAAGGAGTAATAAAAACAGCTCCCAGGTCACAACCATTTACTGAGTTTGCATCTTGTCCTAGACATTGGGGAAGACTTTCATCTTAGAGTGACACCCACTTTAAGCTTCACGCCCATTTCACAGGTGGGTGTGTGGGTGGCTGAGGCTCAAGGAAGCATCTATTGATGGGAACCTACTTACAAATGTCACACCTGGCACTCTTGGCTACTAGCCTGCTTGGATAGGAGAGGGAGAATGAGTGAATGAGCGGATAAATTCCATTTCAAGCGCAGGAGTGAACAATGCCAGGTGCTCCCATGGCTCTTTGCTCACAGCCCAGTCCGCACCTTGCTTGAAGTGCAGCTCTTGATAAATATTTGGTATTACTGATAGCATTATGATTGTCATTATAACATCAGAATCCTAAGGCATGTAGAACTGGGAAAAGCAGGGAAAAGACCCAACCTGTTCTGAATACAAGGTCTGCAGAAGGCCCTGCAGTGTGTAGGCACTTGTTTTATGTCTCCCAGCTGGTAGCAGAGCTAGCCACTGGCTTGCTGGGAGCCATGGCACTAGAGAGTGTTTTATATGCACTTGCGTGTAATATCTCTGAGCATGCAGACTCCTTGGGAAAGGGGGCTTAGCTTTCAGAATCCCATAGTTCCCAGGAGCCAAGCTGGTGTCGGGGGAGGCACTTTGGACACAGCGGTTCAGCCAAGCAATTTCTGTGGGCTGGCAGCAAGCAACAGGAGAAAGGGGACAGGACCTTCCAGTCTCCAGTAAGAAGTGGCCCAACACAGAGCCTACTGTGCTTCTCTGGGTCCCCCAATCCATCCCGCCCCTTCCACCAGCATCACTCTTGTGCCTCAGGATCCCTTCCCAATGCACAGTGCTGGGAATGGCGCCTGCACCATAGGAAGATCTCAGTGCACACCCGCTTGAAGGACGAACAGATTCCCTGAAGGCCAAGAAGGTGAGGTTGATGAGCTAAGGTCAAAGCTAGGCACAGCAATTCTATGAGTGTCAGGCTTCAGGATTCCAAACCCGTGAGTCTGTCTTGCAAGGGGCCAGCTGTCGTGCAGCAGACATGGCCATAAGTGGGGGTGGAGGGGGAGCTGTGGGATCAGGCAAGTTGAGGGGGTTAGGAGTGGAGGCACCTGCAAGCTGAGCTCAGAATGGACCATGCCACTCTCCCTTAACGCCTTCCTCCAGTGTCTCTATCACCCACACAGCTGTCACATCGGCACATTTCATCTAAATATCACTTAGCTCATCCTACACAACAATATTTATGACATCTGATGGATCATCCTTCTCTCCATATTTTCACTTTACAAGGTAAAATACACATAACATAAAATTTACCATTTAAACTGTTTTTGAAGTCTACAGTTCACTGGCATCATGCACATTCACACTGTGGTATAATCATTCATTTCCAGAACTCTTTTCATCTTGCAAAACTGAAACTGTCTACCCAATAAACAGTAACCCTTTGTATGTCTCTGACTCTCACTGCTCTCACCACTCCATGTGCTGCAGAGTGGTGATCTAGCACTTAGCTGGGCACATGGAGTGTTTGCCTCGTTTTGTGCACGACTTTCTGCATTTCGCAGAATGAACTCAAGGTTCATTCATGTCATACCATGCATCAGAAGTTCTTTCCTTTTCAAGAATAAATGCTATTCCATCTGATTTTAACACATTTATGCCTTTCTTACCCTGGTATACGTGAAAAGCAATAGCTACTTCCAAAATCAGTTGGTCTATAAAGAGGAAACCATCCTGCTTTCTGGGATGAGGGGGTTCTTGGGACACAAAACTTTCAGTTCTAAAACCAGATGGTCCCCAGGCAAACCAAGATGAGTTGGGGACACTAGACAGAAGGATCCACAGGGAGTCCAGCCAAAGGGCAAGTGTGATGCCACACAGGCGCAGACAGTTGATCATTCTATGTTGAGCCCCAGGAGCACAGAAAGCCACAATCATGGGAGGGCCAACTGTCACACTGTCCTGTGCTTTCAGAGCCACTGTTAGGAAAGCTCAGATTACAGCCACACAAGGAAATGAACAGCAGCGACATCAACAACATCTAACACTCTCATGTGTCCCAGGTGCTGCCAGACACTATTCCAAGCCCTTTGCTTCTATTTAACCCCCGCATCCTCATGACAACATCAGGATGTAAGTGCTGATATATTTACATCCAATTTGCAATGATATATAGAGG